CCAAACGAAACACAAGAAACAAAAAATAATTTAACCTTTTATTTTATTTTTCCTTCAGAATTAGTTATTATCAAATTGTTTGTTTATCTAATGTCATGATCATTTCCTTGATAAGATAATTGGTTAAAGATAATTTCAATTAAATGAACAAACAAGTAAACATTGCAAGGAAAACAATCCCAGTTACAGAAAATTTTATAAAGGTAACTTTATGGGGGAGAAAAAAGTAAACCCTAAAACAGAATATTAATCAGGTAAAGTGTCAATTGTTTGAGAGACAATATTTACCTTCATGTAAACAGAATGAAAGACAAAATTCTTGACATGATATTCATTAATTGTGTGGTTAATATTATAAGTTGATTTGATAGAGAGAGAGAGAGAAAAGATAATTTATCAAAACAAATTTCCAATTTTGAGAAAAATAATGAAAATCTCTTCCTTTTTATCATCGATTAGATGGAAGCATTTACCATGAAAGAATATATATATATATACATGATAATCTTATAGTAATAGAATATGAAATTTTCTTCTCTCAATCTGGAGAAAAAAGGAAAATTCTGATAATAATAATTCAGAAGCTGAAAGAATTTGGTTATGCTTGAAACGGAATCAATGAATCGTTTACCTTTTTAGATTCACAATCATGATAATAGAATGAATATTTCTCATCATCACCCATAATTTATTATCATCATAATCTTTTTGCTCCCTTTGATTCTTGAAACAATTCATTAAACAATATTATATTAATAATAGAAGATAGAAAAATGAAAATATTCTTATCTATTATTATGAGTATTCATTTTCTCCTTCCAATCTCTCTATCTCCTTCTCTCCCTCTAAGAAGATTATAATCACTTTTAATGATAAATTGATGTTCTATTAGTAAAGTTGCCATGTAAGTGATTTAAATTATATCATGATTATCATCTTTATCACCGACATAATCATGAGAATAATTCATTTTCATCTTAGATTATAAATACATATTATCTTGAATTTTTTTCGTTCTTCTGTAATAATTGTTAAGGGGGACAGAATTTGTCTCATTTTTATGTCGAAGTAGAAAAAAATTGAACAAAAAAAGAGGAGTAAAGCAAAAAAAACGTCTAGCATTCTGTTCAGTCAATGCTAACCTTAATTAGTAATAACTTAATCTACTGCAAATTTTAATGATAATCAGAACAATTAATTAGTTAACTTCAACAGTGGCTAAAGAAAAAAATGTAATAATATTAATATATAGATACACTTGATATTAAATTATCATCATCGTGATTATATTTTCATCATCATCAACAGTCCGTTTAGCCAAATTATCATTTTAACCACTGGAATTGTAATAATTATGTTGATCATTTTTCTTGCTATCCCCTGGAAACACAAAATAGACTATTAAAAAAACTATAACCTGAGTATTAGCATTTTAATAAGATAATTGTTCATTGGATTTGAGAATTATGATTCTACTCTATTCCCTCCCTGTTTGGTTCATCTCGTTCCGGATACGGAAACATGGGATTGTTATTGTCATATTTGATATGTTTTTCTTTTCATCGTCTCATATAATTATTATTATAACTAAATTATCAAGATAAATGAAAAACATGAGTTTCAATTCTGTCTGTGTGATGCTTCATGATCATTCCTGCAGATATTGGGGTAATTAAAGATAATGGTATATATGTAGCACTTTATTTCAATATTTAATATAATGTAATTGTAATTATCATGAAATGAGATTAGAGTTGTTGATGATGATGATGAAAAGACTAACCCAGGTAATGAGCTTCATTAGCTAATTTTGATTACTTGTTTTTTTTGCCATCATCTTGTTAGTTAAAGATTTCTCATCTTGCTTATAATGTTAATGATGATGATGATATGATATTAATACGATAACTTGAAGTAAATTCATATTTCTCTTGATGCAATTTTTTTCTCTTCTCCTTCATCTTGATTTTCTCATGTTCATCAGATTCTGGATTCTTTATGCATCCTAAGGTACACCAAATATTATTACCTTTTACTTAAGTTTATCATCATCAAGTCAATTGACTTATTATTATTTGAGCTATTCCTCTTTTCTCATCTAACTCCCAGCTAATATTGTATATATAACTTGTCACTCTAATGATTGATACAAAGTTATTTTTTTCATTCTCAGCATTCTCAGTATTTTCATGCTTGTTTCCAATCTCTTAAATACATCTCTGGCAACTTTCTCATACCATTTTGATGCTTTTCTCCTTCTTACATTCATGATAACTTCATGATATTCTCACGTTATAAACTAATCAATCTCTTAGCTTTTGACCTTTGAAATTTTCATTAATTGAACTTTTTGTTGATAAACTTTTCAGTCAACTCTCATGCGAGCTGCTTTTTTCATGGTTACCATGAAAATCGATCCAGTGGGAATTTGATCGGAACTTTCCGTTTTTTTCCTTGCTTCAAACGCTTTTATTGTTTCATTTTTAAGCGATATTTCTAGACTTAATTTAAATAATTTCTGTAAAAATAACACTCGATTATCTTTCAAGTCAAAAAGCTAAAACTATCAATTAACTATAAAGACTTTTGTATGATATCAAAAGTCAGAATTTTGGATTATTATCAGGATTCTAAAAGAACTTCCAAGGTAGGAATGAGATGAAGTTCTGAAATGAAGATTTGTATGATTAGAATATCGATTGCGTGGTATTTTTTTTTACTGTTAATCGTTAATTGGTGGATCAATTATTACCAATGTCTTGTTGATACATTATTTGTATCTGAATTCTAATGTAAGAGTAGCAAAGATTTTCAAATTATCATTATTACAATGTATAAATAAATGTTACATTTTCAGATGATTTTCTCAGCTTTTAAATTTATTGTTGAAATGCTAAATGTTGGTTATGAATAACTTGTTAAATTAACGTTATCATCTGAATTTTATGACTTTCATCATGTAAACTTATCACATTTTTGTTTCTGTATACATATAATATATCTCAAAATCTTGAAATAATCAGCAATCTGATATTATTCTTGAAACTTTATACTTAATCTTCAATCATTCGGGTTGTTTATCTTTTTTTTCTTATTTTTCTTGCAACAATAGTGATGATGAAACAATCAAGACGAAAGGAAAAGTAGAATGTTGATCGTAATAATAGCATTTAAAGGATCTTAAATATTGCAGATAAAGCAAGAAAAAGATAAGAACAAGTTGAAATAATAATAATAAGGATGGAAAGAGAAATAGAGAAAAAAAATCTTGTTCAAAATACAGAAATCACCATAGATACTTATGCTCTTATCGTATTTATATCATTTTTTTTCTTTTCTTTTTAATTCATTGGCTTGTAAGCTTTTGTTAGTTATGTCCAAATCTGATGATATGAATCTTGATGATAATCTGAATGACACCAGAAGCACAGTGAGAGACAGAGACTAAAACTAAAGGATAAAAATGAAAGCTGAGTTTGCACAGGGAATCATCATGATTTGTGTATCTAGTAACATGGTCTCATGTTTTCATTATAATCTATGGTTAAAGATATGAAAAGGACATTGGCCAGCATATTGTTCACTCTCTTTTCTCTGTCCTTCTAATCCCTCTTCTTTGTCTCAATTCCCTTTTTGTCACTTGTTACAAGAAGTTGAAGAATTTACAGAAATCTAATGAATCTAATACTTTGAAGAAGCCACATAAATCTGAAGAAAAGGAAAACAAGTCACCAAAGAAAGAAAGAAGGAGACAGAGAACTTGCTAAAGAAAAGGTGAAAGGATGATAAAGGTAAAGGTAAAAAAGGGAAAAGTTGAAAATAACCTTAACTCAGTTTATTAGTTGTAATAATTACTTTGATTATCATTTACGTATCCAAAATGAATACTCAGAAATATATAAATGTTCTGAATAAAATCACAAATCTTACATAAAGATTAAAATTCTCCTCATGAGAAAAGATCATGATGATAATTTGGAGATAAGAGAAAGTTCTTGATGAATAATGTCAACCAGGTAAAAGAGTTACAAAATTGAAATGAGATTCAAACTAATCCATCATATGGATTTTTGTGTAATCATTCAACTAATTGAGATTTTTTCATGTTCAACTTTTTCTATGTGTTAATTATGAGTAGCTCATTATTTTTTTCCATTGGTAATTTAATCTTAAGGTCAAGGATAGCTTAATGTTTACGTAATTTAACACTACAATATTGATGACCAGTCTCTCTAATTAGTATTAAAGCTTTTGGCCAATTAACTTTACTAATATCCGTTAATTAGTGTATTAAGCTTATCCATAATAACAATAATAGGGAATCATATACATAAAATGTATTAATAAAAAGACATGGACAAATTTTGGCTGATTATCTATTGACATAAATTGTTTCATTTATCAAAACTAACTAAGGATTTAAATTCAATTAGCATAAGATACTTTCAATGACATTTACTTTGGTCTAATGGATGAATCGAGAATTGTTTTATAATTAAATAAGTGGTCAATTTTTGGGTCTTTAATATTGTTGACCAGTGAAAGAAAGTTGAAAAGAAATGAAATGAAAGGTAACGATGATTAAGCTCTTGAACATGATTAATAACGATAATTAATGTATTATGTCATTTAGATGGAGAATAAAAGTTTTTCACTTTCTCTTTCTTTGTGGGTTATAATAAATATACTTGTATTTAGGAATAAGAAAATGCTTCAAGGTAAATTACTGAGGAAAATGTTATTCCATTAATATGATAAAAAGAGCGAAAGAAATACAGAGGAAAGGAAAGGATGAAAGAAAGAGAGTTCGATTGAGAAGAAATAATAACATCTGTAGAGAGATTTTGATATATTTGGTTTTCGCTTGGGCGAATACCCTTAGACAGAAAGTAGAGAATTCAGAATTTATGTACACATACACATACACATGATATTTAGGGAGAAAAATCTCTGACCAATAAAGGTAAAAAAAGTACATATGAAATCGATGGTATATTTACCTTCTAATGATGGTGATGTTAAGGTTCGAGCCTGTTCAATGGTACCTAGAGAAAGAGAGAGAGAGAGAGTAGGTTGGGTATGAGGAAGAAAAAAAATTCCAAAGGTAAGAAATAACTTTAGCCAAGAGCATATATACATGTATGGTGATATTATTGGATAGTTATCATTGTTTATTAGGGGACAAGGAGAGTAGGAGGTCAGTGAAGCGATGAAGTTACTTTTAATAAGTAATGTGATCTTTTCCTCTCTCTCTTTATCGTTTGTCATTCTAACAAGATTTTTCCTCCATCATACATGATAGACAATTTATTCCAGGTACATAAACATTCATCAGAATTTCTGATATAATATATCTTACAGAATTTGATATAATAGCCTTCTAGCATCAATAATCAACCATCATCATCATCATCATCATCAGCAAAAGCATCTCGGTATAACCCTTGTCTCTTTATCTTCTTTTTATCTTCTAATATAATTCCTTCCAAGATAAATGTTAATATATAAGTTCCATGCATACATGTTATTAGTATTTTTTTTTCTTTCTTTCTCCCTATTCCTTTATCATCATGTATATTTTGAGATTCTTTTATTTTCTCCTTCATTTGACTTATCAAAATGTAATATCTTAAGTTAATCATATTATCACTGATTTATATTTAAAAGATAATTCAGTTTAAATTGAAGTATTACCATCATTGAAAATCATACATAATTATTGTTATTTTTTATCGTATTATAATACTGATTGTTTCCACTTTAAATCATTATCATATTACTATTGTTATGTATATATATTGATCAGCATTGTATTATTATAATATGCTGATGTTTTTGTGTTAATATACAAGTGAGAATATGAAAAAAAAGAGCTTCAATTGTGATTATAATACCAGATTAGATTGAGACAATGTTCAATATATTAATATGATTATCGTACATTCATATTAAGTTAATATTCATTTGCTGATAAATAGGGATAACTTTTTTTTCCTCGGCATTTGTTATAATATTACAGTGCTAATCTGATGGTGATTCATGTGCCCACTTTACTTTGAAGTTACTCATTATTTTATCTCTGAGAATCTCTTAGAAATATTTGGCTTGGAAGAATAAAAAAATTTCCTTCGTGAATGGTTAGCATTTTCATTGGAAACAGAAATTTTCTAAATTCTAATTTACCTTTCAAAGGGAATGCTTGTGATTTCTCAAAGATAATCTGGTAAGTAAGGAAATAACTTCTTTTGGAATTCTGCTTTTCTTTCAGAACTTTTTCCCATCTTCTATTAACATTTTCAACTTCAATTCTTACATTCACATTACTTTCATAACTATTGGTCTTGTATATAGATAGATATTGAATCGTGTGTCTTACCTTTTCTAGCATCTATTGTATATATTGGTGCTAAAGCATCGTCTTTATACCAAAGGACAAGAGCAACTGAGTCATCCGGTGTTGGAGCTGTAACATCACAAGGTAAGGCAACTTTGCCTTTAACAACTGCAGTATATAATATTGATGCTGAGGAAGATGATGAATAAAAGAAAAGATAATCACAGAATTAATTATTTTGATTGGAGAAAATTATTGAGAACACTATTTGAATCATTTTTTTAGTGCAAAAAAAGGTCAAAAAGTTACAGAACGATAGTTTAAATATTTTTATCCATAATGTAAGTGAGTGAGGATCTTAATCCGATTTGAGAACTGAGGAAGATTTTTTCTTGTTTAGATCTCATTAGGATATTTTTATTCCGTTCACAAAACTCACCAAAAGGCTGAGCATCGTTGGCCGATGGTTGAACTTGACCATTATTAACAGAACACAATTGGTACAAGTAAAGTGTTATCACAAATTTTTGCATTCCCTTGAGAAGGATAAAGATTTTATATCTAATTGAATTAACTAAATTGCCGATAACAAGATAAATTGACTATCAGTTACACAAAAGCACTCACACAGACAATAAGAGAGAGACATAAAATTTAATGATTATTGAGAAACGCGTTTTAACAAAAAAAATATCCGATAACGTTGATAATCCAGTGAGAATGTTGATAATGAAGAGTAAACCATTGTAGATCGGAAACAGACTCATTGGGTGAAATCGCTCCTTCTTCAGGAAGATAGAGAATTGTTTGGAAAACTTTAGAAACAAGGACTCTTGCCATCTACTATTCGATATTATAACTAAAATATTGATTCTATTAAAATGTAAGTATTTTGAGTTTAACTCAAGGGATGAGGCAAAGCCACTTACAAAAAAACTGTAACCGAGATCAACATCAAACGAGGTGCACAGAGTCGACCGACTTTGGCGCCAACGCGAGAATAGATACTTAGATGTGACAACTTAATAGAGATTTATTGAACAGAGTGGAAAGCACGTACAAGGATAAACGGAGGTGAGAGTTAGGAACTTAGGTAAAGGAGTAAGTAGGAAAAGACTAAGAGTAATTTGAAGAGAGTAAAAACAATAGGTGAATAATAATTAAGTGAGGTGTACTGACTGACGTTGTCTATGACTGTGTTTTGGTTTAAGGTGAGAGAGGGTTTTTATATTAATACTAAGGTGACTAATTGTAATTGGTTAACATACAGTCAACGACTTTGAGTTTGCAACCTTTTTTAAATCATTCACGCAGGTTAAGACAATCAATGAGAGATATTAATAATAATTTTAATCGAGAGATATGATTATAAGAAATGCCCTTTCATATTAACTATTTAATCTATTAAAATGGTCATCTGATTAGCTATCAATTGTTATCTTTACCTGATTATCATCAACTGCGTGAATGATTTAAAAAAGGTTGCAAACTCAAAGTCGTTGGCTGTATAAGGGAGAGAGTCCAATAAGGAAATGATGATGACCGGAGGGAGAAAGAAAAGTGTGAGAGAGGCATTTCCCTTACAAAAATACCACGATTCTTTCATTCAAATAGTACGAAGGAAATATTAACAGATAAGCTCATGAAATTAAAGCGAAATTTTCAGCAAAAATGAGTTCTCAATAATTATATCAATACAAAATGATTCAAGTGATTTTATCGATGCTCTTCGCATGAAATTGAGTAAATAATGCACAGATAAACTGTAACTACAGTGAGACCGAGTTCATCATGAAATCTCCAACCTTAATATCAATCATTCTATCGATTCTAAAAATTTTTCTGATGGTCATCACAAAAAGTGCAGTTTATTACGAAATATGACTCAGTACATTCACACATAATTTGGCGGTGGGATTTCAATATTTGAACGTGAGGCATGAAATATGCTACAAACCAACTCAAAGAAATTTAGGAAATATGAAGATGATCGCCACCTGGAATTTGTAAAAGGAAACATTGTATCGATTGATTTATTGAACAAAATGTTCCACTCTGTACCAATAGATGGCTCATCTTATTCGTTGTTTGAAATACAAAGAAAACGAAAAGTTCTTTCTCTTCGTTCTCAGTACTTTTTCTGTTCGTCACTCATGTGTTTCCTTTCCAAGGTGAATGCAAAAATCACATAATCATGGTTATTTTAATTCTCACAGAATGGAGACAGAAAATCATAAATTCTTAATGAGTATTCATGTAGCAATATCACACTCAGAATAACTGTAAAAACTATTAAACACTTAAGTTTAAAAAAAAAGAAGTAAAAAACTTATCATGATAATCAAGTATTATATGGTAACGTTATAACGAAATGATATTTACGATAAGTGATATCATTTTATTTGAGATAATGTTAAGATATTATTGAAATATAATAATATTATATATCAAGTTTTTACTCCATGTAAATAAATGAATCTATTGTAGCATGAATTTGATCACGATTTCAATTACTATTATTGTTATTATCATTTTGAGCGGATCATTAATTTGGATTTGATTAATCATCAGAATGGTTAAACTAATTTCATAGTTAAATTATTATCATTACATATGATACTTTTAACATTAAGTGAGTCTGAATAAATAAATAGAAGCAAAAAAAAGGTGATCACAACAGATTAACATGTTATCTCATTAAATGAAATGATTTTCATGGTAAGTGATTAACGGATATTAATTGCTAATGATCGTGGGGAAAAATGGGAAACCTAAGATTCAAAGAGAGAAGGAAAAAAAATCTTCTAAAGTAAAATAGCAATTACATTGTGATTGTAGTATTAATGATAATCAAAGTGAGAAGGAAAACAAGTTATAATTATCAAGGAATTTGCTTATTATCCCGATACAAGCCGAGAACATTGAAAATGAGTTAATCCATGCAAAGATTATATTAGAAGCCATTAAGTAATTTGACAACAAGAAGGAGGTAAAAGAGGTGGAGTGGTAAAGGGAAAAAAAGTTAGTTAGTTTGTTTGTTAATTTAGTTTGATGAACAATTTTCTTCCCAAACAATTCCTGAGATCATGAGTGTGAAGATAGCAAGGGGAAAAAAGTACTAATACATGATAAGAAAAAGGAGAAAAAAATTCCTACAAAGATTGAGAAAAAGGTTATAAGTTTATGTAAAAACAAAAGGTAAGATCATTAGTTGGTCGTTTTATTCATTCATGATACCATCCAACCGGAAACAGAAAAAAGAGCAAGAGAGAGAGAGAGATGATATCAGAATCTGATAAGATGACTTTGTAATTGCTTCTTCCATGTGCAAAAGATTCAGTGAGATGAAAAGAAGGGGATTGATTAATAAGGAACAGAAACAAAGGTAACATTAGATTTGTATCATTACCATTGAAATGAGATTGAACTTTTCTTACCCCTGATAGGATTGAGTCTTAACTATTGGATGGAATACTTTTCGAGTTTGTGTATTTATTATATGAAAACCATTTACTTCGTGTACATTACTCATTAAGAGCTGATAATTAAGGCTTTGATTAGTAGTAAACACTTGGGAGTTTCGAGGAGTAGTAGTGAAAGTACACAAAATGACACAGTCATTCACCCCATGTGACAAACATTTTAGACATTTTAATTAGATCAATTATTGTCAAATCTATGAATAATTATTGATTATTGATTTCCAATTAAAACTATTTATATCTGAATTTGACCTACTAACCGAGTGAGCAATTAGTATAAAAAGAGTGTTCAAACTTCGATCAACATTCAGTTTCAAAATGGAATCTTGTAAAGCTTGTGGTTTTGGTGCTAAAGCTGATTTCGATCAATATACCATCGATTATTATGAAAGTATTGGTTATCAAACCTGTTACTCTGAAAAGTATAGGACTCCACAGGAACGAATGGAATCATATGTCAATTGGCCTAAACCAGAATTGGATATAAAAAAGTTGGTAGATGCCGGATTTTTCTACAGGGGTGTAAGAGATTTAGTATCTTGTTTCCATTGTGGCCTCAACGTACATGAATGGCAGCCAGATGACGATCCATTAATCGAGCACTTGAAGTATAACTCCAAATGTGACTATCTATACGTAAAATGTGGTACAATGTTCTTGGCTAAGACATGCTATGATCTTAAAGGAGAGTTACCATTAGCTGAACTATCAAGAACCGAAATTAATCGATACAACTGTAAAGTTTGTAAAGAGATGGAGGTTGGATGTATCTTCTATCCATGTGAACATGCAGTAGCATGTACAAATTGTACTGTCAAGCTCTCGAAATGTCCGATATGTGATCGTCTAATCAGAAAAGTATTAAGGTTAGCTTTTACTGATTAATCTTTCATTTAACGAGGATGACTCTTTGTGAAAACATTACAGTTAATAATGTTGTCATGTCATTTACTTTGAACTCTAATCTTTCTCGAAGTATAATAAAAATGTATTACCCATCAATAAGGTACCCCAGGAGATTCTCCGGGGGAATATTAAAGTATGTTGATGGGTGTTTATTAATTTTTGATTCTGGTAAAATTATTGTAACTGGAATTAAAAACTGTGTAATCTCTTTCAATTTAATAAATCGTTTTTGTATCAATTATCCATCAAAAATTGATTACATTAATTTCAAAGTTGTCAACATCGTGGCTCACTCAAGGTTATCAAGTGATTTTGATTATTCAATACTCAAAAGGTTTCCAAAGTACTCATACGAGCCAGAGTTATTTCCAGGAACACATATCAAAGTGGACGATACCAAGGTTATTTTTATCGTTTTTAAAACAGGAAGGATAACAGTAACCGGTATCAAAGATTATAATGATGTTTCAAAATATTTTGAAAAGTTTAAATCTTTAGCAGAATCAATATAAAGAGAGACAGGGCTATAAATAACCTAGTTATTCAAAAACCATGGATACAAACGAAACCTACAGAATTTGGTGTAAAAAAGTTCTTTTCACTGTACAACTAGTTGTATTGATATCAATGTTGATAACAGCTATTGTTAACATTGTCTTAAATACCGGAAATCTACCGTTATGGACAGCTTTACTTGGATCATCACTTGGTTATCTTCTTCCAACTCCAAGGTTTCGATCGGGCAAGAGTTCAGATAATGGTGCTTCAAGCTCAGCTCCTTCCTCAATTGTATCATGATAA